AACTAATGTGGGGATGCCCGATCCATTGCTACCATCCCCGAGCTTCTACGACCTCCGGAAGGTGTCTACGGCCATGTTTACATATTCACCACAGGTTCTCTTTCATGTTGGGAAGGGGAGGTTGAACTGAGGAGCATTCAGCTGCAAAATGCAACTTCATCTCTAGATATCACCAAAATCTACACACTGAACCTTAAATACATTTTTCTCAAAGATGGTTTCTGGGATTCTGGGCAGTTCTTATCACACTGGTGTTTGTCCAAATGCAAATTCTTGAGGGAAGTTAATTAGTTATTTGAAATGTGGGATGAAAGTGACTCACGAATGGTCAATCTTGTTTATCGACAGGATCTCGCTACAGACACGTACTCAGCATACAATCTTGAAAATGTTTATTTAAAGATGACTAACAGTTTAATGACTAGACAAACATATTGCAGGGAACAAAGTTTCACTTTCAAACTATTCAACTTTTCAAAAACGTGGCTCGGCACACCCTTTCTTCATTTGTCTGTTTCAGTGCTGCAGACAGTGCTAAATTACAGAGACGTCAATAAGATGCTACTCTGAGCATCTAAAATTATCTGTAGCTGTCTGCCATCTGTCTGAGAGGGCTTTAAAAGCCGACTGCAGTGATTCTTTTTAATTCAGAGCATTAAAGCAATGGTATGATTGACGTGAAAGATTAACACATATGTAATATGGCTGACAATTTAGTTTTCGTTGACTTCTAAATGCAGAGTGGAGATATAATTATTAATTATGCTTCTGTTCAGCAACATGTTTTGTGATAGAGATTCAATGTGTATTTACTGCCTGCCTTCTTTCTACCTACCTTCAATGAAGTGCATCTTAGTCTTTAAGCCCTGCAGACATAAGGCTTCATAACCAGCTGCGGGTGCAGAGGCCTGGTTAAAAGAGCTCATATATGCTGCCTGTGTGAAGTTACACCCATTCTACCCTGCCCAGAAAATAAATGGGGTGCAGGAGTGCAGCAACCAGCCATGGTGGAGTGGTGACAGATCAGTTAGCACCTATCACTGTCTCTATTCCGTCATTCTGTCGTCATCATCACACCTATTTTCCCTTTATATTTTTTGTGCCTATATCTCTGACAAAGAAAGTGACACACAATTATCCTCCATTTCCTCTCCTCCTCCCTACTCCATTTCTTTCTCCCCTCTTTCATTTATTTCTCTCTTCACGACTACAAACCTTCCTCCCCTCTTTCTCCCCCACTTCCATCTAGACTGATTTAGAGTTTCTGGACCCTCGTGGTCGGACTCCTCTCCACCTGGCTGTCACACTGGGCCAGCTGGAATGCACCAGGGTCCTGCTGCAGAATGGAGCTGACGTCAGCAAGGAAAACCGCAATGGATGGACCGGTGAGTGTGTGTGCATATGTGTGCGTTTGGTGTCCAGGTATTGCTTATGTTATTGGACCGAACACGTTTTTACAGTCACATAATGGGGTAAGTAAATCAGGAAATTTGAAGGTGAAGAAATATTTTAAGGTTAGATTTAGACGAAGGTAATAATAAGGGAAAGACAAGTAGTAACTACAGTTAAGATTAGGAAAGGAAATTAAAGTAAGTCAATGCAATGTACTTCCGAGTCATAGACACATGTCAGGGAGTGTGTGCTCATTGGCTTGTGTGTGTTTCACAAAAAAACAGGCTTCATGTTGCATTTTATTCACTTATATTGTTGTAATATTTGTAAAAAAAACTAATTATGAAACTGCAGTAGAATTAATATAACAAAATACTTTTAGATTTACATGGATAAATGTGAAAGCGATCTCAGACGTGTGCCATCCTCCAGACAGAAATACCAAATAGATTTCCCACAGTCTGGCCCAGAATTTTGTCATTCTTATAGTGTTTTATATAAAGAAAGTCTTGATTTGTTAGGATTTGAGATAGTGACAGGAGAGGTGACAGAGGAGTATAGGTTTAAAGGCTTTAATGTAAGAACTCCTGTGAATCAACACAGAGAATAATCTCAGAGTCCCAGGTCCTGATAGAGAAGTAAACTTTTTGGATTTACTCATCAAAATCAAAATCCAGTTGATAGAGTGTGTTGGCATAATGATGCGGGAGTCCAGACATGGACATGAGGCGGAGGAGTTGTAGGTTGAAAGATGATCGTTCCTTTTGTTAATGCTGGATGATCGATAATTGATAATTCTTTTTCATTATGTAGCTTCTCCATGTTTAAAATTTAACAGTCTGTTTAAAAGGTAAATGGCAGGTAGGCGATCCAAGACCAGAGCTGGCCCCCCCACCTATAAGCCATGCTGACAGTCTGGTCTGATAAGGCGATGAGCATCACGTTTGTTGGACAGTGAAAATATCTCAAAGAACAAACCCACTGGAAGGAGAGTTTAATATGCCAAACATGGCCTGTCATTTGCAGTAACCCAGGGGAAGACCTGATCACAAATTACCTGAAATGATGTCCGTGTGGTACTGCCCCCTTGGTCACAATTAAAGGACTATAACAATATATTTATATTTATATATATATATATATATATATATATATATATTTGCAAAATAGTCCACAGTAGTAACGTTTCCCACTGGCTCTATTTTACTATTGGCACTGATGAGGTTGGTCCCCAAGTGATTCTGATTGGTTTCGAAAAAAACTTATGATGCTTCTCTTTCAAAAATGGCTTCTGCCAGATATCTCTTCTGTGCTGGCGCTGTGCAATGTAGTGTGGAGTTGGGCCTGGCAATGAGACTCTGAGCATGAAATCAATTTTGTTTTTAACTCTGAAATTATAGAGGCTGCTATAAGCGTCCTATATCCCACCTTCACCTATATCGATTTGTTTCCACTCTTTATTTAATCATGTAACTTGGCAAATGAGGATTATTTAATTTCAATGGTAATAGATTATATTACATTTATATTATTGAATTACACCTACCCACTAATTCCACAAATGAAGCTCATCTCGCAAACCATTCATCTTATCTGCTTCACACTTGCCATGTGTATTGTTAAGAGCCAGAGGAGGAGGAGGGTCGGATTTGGTGTGATTTGATGATATATATTAAGAATAAACGGCCGCCCAGTGCTCTGTAGCAGTCACTGGGGGCAGCAAAAACATCCAGGAATAACACTGAAGTAGCTCCGGAGCATTTACACAGGCCAAGCAGACAGTCCATTCCAAACAGACAGGTTACTAGGGGGGGTTGCACTAGTTCAATTTCTCTTTTTAGATGGTGTGTAGATGGTTTCAGCTGTAAGTGTGTTAACTCTTATTCACTTGTTTGCTGATGAAGAAACAGAAAGGAAATTGTTCTATAATTGCCCAAGTGTAGAACAGCCTGTAAGATTAGCAGCAAAGTGGCGGTCTGATGAATGATGGGCACGCTGCGGTAATTGGTCGTAGCAGCTTTTCTTTTGGTCTACTTCAGCTTCTCTTCAATTCTCTCTGCCCCCTTAAATTTCAAGTGCATACATTTTAGATGAGGCCCTGAGTGATTGGCTCTGTTTTACTCTCTCTCAGTTCTTCAGGAGGCGGTGAGCACCAGAGATCCGGAGTTGGTGCGTCTCGTGCTTCGTTACCGTGACTACCAGAGGACTGCCAAGAGGCTGGCGGGCATCCCCGTCCTGCTGGAGCGACTGCGCCAAGTGGGATTTCACATACACATAACACATGTGCAACGCTCTGAAGCACACATGACCACGCACACACACGTGCACGCATGCATGGACACAGATTACATATGTGAAACAAATCCCAGACATGCGATGGAACATCAAAGGAATTTGTGAGATGCATTAATTTGTAATGTAGATTAGTCTTTTGATTTAGATCTTTGTTTTTGGATGAGTTTTTCTTTGAAGGTATTAATAACCATGTTTGCTTGTTTACACTCAAAGGATATACTGTATGTCTCAGTGTTGCGTAAGTCTGCCTCTGGGTAATCTGACTCATCACTATCCCCTAAAGGGAGATGGAGTGTCATCCTTTCAGCCACAATAGCAGCACTGGACAATCTCTAGACTGGAGAGAATGAAAGTTGGTGATAATCCTGAAATGAAAGTCTGGAGGCGCAGTACATTGTGTTGTAGCTACTGCAGCAGTAGAGCTGCAGGGCACAGTGGTGAAGATACAGAAGCTGCCTTCTTTTTCTCACA